AACTTTGGTGTTGAGCTGCGGTATGAAAAACGTCTTCTCGACCGCATCTTGGGTACAGAGAAATGGTCTTGCTGATGCGTCACTTTGATGACCACCTCCTCCTTTACTGACGGCACCACCACGAGTTCCTTGATGGGATCTTTGTGTAAGATGTCGTGCTTGACGTAGAAGTCTTCGAAATCGCCTCCCTCGAGCGCTTTGCGAACGGCTCGAGCCCAATCATGCTGCTGTTGTGCCTGCTTCATCCGGTGACGCAGAGAATCTTCCTGTATCAGGCACGATACTCGGCTTAGTTGTCGACGAATCTGCGGAAATACGACATGAGTCCAAGAAAACGTTGCAAGGATTTCCTATCGTTTGGTAAAGGAAAATTCCTAATCGCGCTGGTTTTTGCTTCGGATGGCTATATTGTGTTGTGCGTGATGATGTATCCGAGGAACTCGACTCTCTTCCTCAGGAACTGGCATTTGTTCTACTTAATGCGGAAGCTTTTCGCCTCGGCAACGCTCAATACCAACTCCAACTTCTGGATGTGCTCGACTTCATCCTTGGAGGGAATGATCACGACTGTCCGCTACGTACCAAGCCGTTCAAAGCCGCGGACTCTTGTGAAGATTGCCAAATGGCATGTACAAGAACTCGAACTGTCCGCTGTGCGTTACAAACGAGGTATACTTCCGCGAGTCTGCTTCCACTGGGACATGGAAGAACCCATTCATTAGGTCAAGCGTGGAGAAAACGTTGGCTCCCAGCAGCTGCTCGACGACGCACATTCCGCACCTCTCTCGTTTACACTCGTCTTGCCTGGGGTCACATGCTCCCGTGAGGATCGTCCGATCTCACAACTTCTCTCGCTGACATCGTGCCCACTGACATCTTCTCGTATCTCATCATGACTATGCCGAACTCTAGCCGCATCTGTCTGTCTAGCGCTCTCTCTGAGCCTCCTAGCTGCATCTTTAATTGCTTTGTACACAAAGTCCAATTATGCGCTGACTGAGTCCCCAAAACCTTCACTTACGCGCTTGCTGGCTACTGCCTTACTAACTCAGTCACGTTCTCTTTGAACACCGCTCCGTCTTCAGTAATGACCAGGTCAACGTGGTTGAAGACATCGTTACCTATCAGCAGCGAGTAGCGTAGTAGTCCCGCTCCCGTGCCACATGGAACGTAATATCCAGCAAAATCCCATCGATATGCATTGGGAAGCTAAAACTGCCCATTGTTGTCATCGCGCTGTTACCGATGCCCACAAGTCGCCGCTTCTCCCTGCTCAGCTCGACGTCTAGCTGCAGCTTCAACAGGATGTCGTGGCGCATTAGGCACAGGTCAGACCCTGTCTGATTCGATAGGCTGAAGAAAATGTCCTTAAACATCAAACTGCTCTGTCTTACTGCCATCATGTTAGCTGGAGATTTCTCCGGCATGGTTGCTTTCCCGACGCTCTTGCAAGTTTCTCTTGTTCCCTCGGCTGTCTTGAATCCCCTCGATGAATACTCGATCAGACTGGAACCATCGAGATTGAATGGCCTGCCGATCTCCATCATCGCGTATAGATACTAGCGCAGATCTTCGCCTGTTCGCTGGTGGCGCTTCCGAAGGACGCGGTGTATCCCGGCCGTGACGCCAAACTCCGAGCGCAGAGCGGATTTTAGAGAATCCCAGCTGCTAACTCCGGTTTGGCTCCTGATAAGGAGTTTCGTTCCACCCTTCAGCAGCTGCTTGGCGTAAATGAACTTCTGCAGGTCGCTCCACTGCACAGCCATCGCGTTCTCTTCGAAATCCTCCAGCCACTGTTCGAATGTCGGCTGACCAGACCCGCTGAATTTGAACAACGAGTCCTCAATGTCCCGGAGAGTGAATGTTGGACGCTCGGCCACGGACCTACGCATGCTTCGCCTACTTTTAGATCGTCGAAATCGATATCCTCGCCGTCGCTCACATTCATGCCGAAATGTTCCATGAGCCGGTCTCTTAGTTTCCAACCCCAACCCTTCTAGTCGTTCCTTAAGTCCAATTCTCCGCTTAAAAGACAATGAGTTTCAAAATATGCAAAATTCCAGATATTATAAAATAAATAAACAATGTATTTAATATGCATAAGTAAATTTCAGATACTTGTATCAAGTGAAGTGCCGAGAAACTCACAATATTTAAAATTATAAGTTTCCGTATCAAAACGTTCGAAACAAGTTAATCAATTTAAAATTGTTAAGTTCTCGTATGAAGCATTTAAAACAGTTGCAAAACTTTGAAATTATCAATTATCGTATTAAAAAGTATCAAATAATAGTAGTCACGCACTATTCTTTTTTTCTGGCCACTACTGTTGTATTGCGATCTCGCAAGTTATCATTTCCCTATCGCCACTATTGTATACAATTGAAATTTATTAGAGTGCTGTTACTTATGTGCAAATACGTATGTGTGTGGGTACTTATATACTCGATAAATAGGCAAACATTTCAAAACAAGTAAAAACATAAGCAATAACAATAAAAATAACAACTACTACAGCACTTAGCTTTGTTTCGCACTCCAGTATTTTGGACCGCTACATATGCACGTGTTGTTGTTGGACCTTTCCACTCTGCTTCGTTGTCGCTGCGATTATATTGCGCCGTCGATGTCGTCTGTGCTGCTTGCTGCCGTATTTGCGCTGTTGTTTTGAGGTTGCGCCGACGCTTTGTAATTTCGCCACATGCTTTTGTCGCTATTGTATGATGTTGCCGGTGTTGGCGGTTCGCTGCTTTCCTGCTACAGTTCTTCGGTGCTGCCTGGCTCTGGCGCCTCTACTGGTGCTTAGTTGTCGCTTTTTGCTAAAGGGCAGAATAGGCGATTCGAATAACTGCACAATCTTAACTGTGAACAGTGGTGTCGTTGCGGTGATATGACGCAGCCACTGTTGTTTAGAGAATATGCCGTTTCTTTCGCACTTGCGTTTGTTTGTCGCAATTT